AAGATACTCTAGATACTACTTAACCTCCTATGTTAATATATATTAAGATGGTTACATGGTGGTAGAGCTACACGCTTATAGAGGTGCACAAAGTTAGTGAAGTGACCGACTCGCTTGCCTGACCGACTCGCTTATCCAACACGTTATGTATGTATGCGGAAACTGCCAGAACGGAAGGTATCTCCCCAAGTTTGGCGAGCACGAGTAACCACGGGACAAGTCATCACCCAAGCAGGCAGTAGTAAGTACGATTTTTATGTTTTTAATTCATGAAAATTCCTTCTTTGGGGAGGCATTGTTAAGAATGCATCTTGTTTTGCTAAGAAATGAATAAATCGCTAACGACAGATGAACCGCCCCAACCCCAACTTGCTATGCGAAAAAATCGGTTGCAAAAGCAGACCAAATGAAAAAAAAAATGGAAAACCTCAAGTTTTTCTTTTTGGCAAACAAAAGACGTAAAAAAAATCCGCGTTTTTGCTTTTCAAAGCTTTCCAGATTCCAGTAAGGAAAACGACAAAGAAGATAATGAGAAATGTAGAGAAGAAAAGAAAACGCCATTACAAGCTTTGTAAATACTAGTAATCTTCAGCGCCAGATTCCTATGCAGAACAGGGGGCAGGACTGTGAAAAAGAACATGGGTCGTTAAGAGACGTGACGGAACAACGAAGAAAAAAACACTCTCCTATAAGGAGTTCTCCGTTTGGACGAGTTCCTCAAAGGCGTCTCGCCACTTGCGGGTTTCCTCCTTGGAGGGCCTGGGCAGAGGCTTGCGAGCGTAACCACCGTAGCCGTAGTGAGCCATGAGACCAGCTTTGGTGCCGATGATGCCTCCTTGGATGGCAGCCCAGTCACCCCTAGCCACGACAGCCTGGAGCTTGCGTGCTTCGGCGAGGTGGCCAGACTCGAACAGTTCAACTAGCTTGACGCACGTCTTGGGGGCAATGTTGGCCATGCCGCCGATGATGCCGGATCCACCTCCGATTAGTGTCTGGAGAGTGAAATCGACGGATCCGCCCATGCACATGAAGCCGGAGCCTGGGTCGGAGACGGTGGCTGCACGTGTTGCTGACGCAATGCGGTTGAGCTTTCCAGTGTTGCCGCAGGTCAGCTTGCAGCCGACAATGTTGGGATGCTGGGCCAACTCGATGATGACGTCCGAGTTGAGATCAAGACCCGAAACGGCGCCTGGGTAGTTGTAGATGAGAATGGGGATAGGAGACGCAGTGGCTACATCGTTGAAGAATTCCTTGACAGTGTCCTTGGAAAACAGGCCCTGGTAGTAGGCTGGTGGCAGTACCAAGGCATAGTCTCCGCCAGCCGAGGCTGCCTCTTCACAGAGTTCGATGGCTTCGCGAGTAGACTGGGCGCCACAGCCGACAATGATGGGCATGTAGCCAAAACCTGCGTCGTCGAGAGCCTTGCGGGTAGTATTTGTGATGAGGTCACGCTCCTTGTGCGACAGATGGACAGCCTCGCCATTGGATCCTTGGGTGGTGATGCCAGCAACACCAGCTTTTGCCAGACGGACTGCGTGGCTAGCTACCGTTTCGACATCTACATTGTCCGTAGCTGGGTCGAAGAATGCTACGGTAGGAACGTAGATGCCAGGGACCAGCGCCCGCCGGATACCAACGTCAGCAGAAGTCATGGAGTTGGTGTCGATGTCGTTGTAGCGGTCAGCCAGGTAGACAGATTGCACAGAATGGTGGAAACCCAAATCTTGAGTGAAGCTGTTGGCAGGAGAAGGGGCGTCGTGGTGTGGTGACATGATATAAGTTTTTTTGAGAGTGTGGAGAAGAAAGTAGGCTTTTATACTAGCAAAGGCTTGTAAAGAGAAGCGAGACTTTTTGGCAAAGAACTAGCGGTACGCTGAAAAGGAAAAATGGGACGAATACGTCAATGGTGGATGGATGTTTGGTCAAGAAGCCAGATAGCGCAGGTACTTAAATGTTTGCAAACGCCGGACCTGGCCTGGCACCCTCTCCCAAGGGCAACGAGGAGCGTGGGGGTCCAGCTGACGGGCTTTGTCAGGAGAGCTAGCGACTGCAGGCATTTCAGGGTAACGAGTAACGAGCGTGTCCGAGAGGGATGAGCCGGCACTTGGGGGTGAAGGGCAAAGGGGCGGTGACAAGCGCAGCCTGTCCGAGGCAGTCCTGGCCTGCACGTAGCCGATGCCAGGCACCGCTGGCTGGGCCTTAGTTTGCTGGGTGGCTTGAACGGGTCTAATGAAGACGGGGCGTCTTACTGATTGGAGCGGCGTTTGTTTCTTTTCGCTCGTGCAGCAACAGGAGGGCAGGGGTGGGGAGGCTGTGATGGTCGGATCGTGGCCGGATGTGAAAAAAAGGCCAAGGGCAAGGGCCAGGGCAAGGGGGAGCAGCGCCTTGTGACGATCTCTGAGGGTCCATTGGGGTCTGGTGATAGGCTGGCGGGCGCCACTGCTGGCCCCATGCGAAGGGTTGGCGGAATCAGAGGAGCGTTGATGGATACCGTTCGGGCGTGGTAGTGTGGGGGTGGGGGAATCGTGGCCGTCCGGTGTAAATGGGTGCGGCGGGTCCTTGTCCTCACACCATCTGGTGATGCTCCTCCTCCTCCGCCTCCTCCTCGTCTCCCCCCCCAGGCCCAGTCGCCCCAGCCGCCGCTAGAGTTTGGCGGGCCTTTTGCTCGGAGTTGCAGCAGAGCAGATGCAAAGGCCAAGGGGGACGAAGGATTGTCCAGCAACGCTGCAAGACGTGGCAGGCCGTGTGAAGCAGGCTCTTGTCACCAGACCATGCGGCACCAGTCCGGCCGCCGTAATCCCCATGCGACCATGACATGGCCTCGAAACCTGCCGAAAATAGTGGAGGCACACACACATACGTACGTGTGTATCAAATATGTGCCTCGTTGTTGCAGAGCCTGGCCAAGATGACGATCGATTGGAGTCGGGAGAACCCCCACGCCCATTACTCTCTGGTGGCGGGGGGCCCAGGCCCGAGCGTCTCCCCTCTGAGGCTCTCCAACACACGTTTCCATACTGCGCATTCGCCCGCCAGCACCGCTAGGTCCATGTCCTATCACCGCCATTGAATCGTGTACCTAGCCATCTAGGCCAATTGTGGCAGCAAACGTGTTTGCACCATGTCAATACACGCGTATGTCGACATATCAACAAGGGGGCAGAGCGCGGGGAAAGGTGCCGAACGAGCAGACTATCCTACTCGACATGCCCCGTCCAAACTGACTTTGGCATCATGACGGCGGTGAGCAGGGTCCGTCGACATGGCCCCAACCTTGCTTTTTTTCTGCAATATCAAAACGATACGGGGGTGGGTAAGACGCCTCCTCGTGGTACCTGATCCTCCGCCGTGGACTGTGAACCGGTGTATCGCTGGCCCCCCCCCCACGCAGCCGCTTACCCCGACAATGGCAATCAACTTCGCCCCAGAAAAGTCCGTCTCCGAATCATCCCGCCAAACTCTCCTGGGTCGGCGATACCACTCTACTCTACGGAGGCAGCTTCTTTGTCTTGCGCATGTCCAGCGAGCGGTAACATTCATCAACATGCGCTGCCACAGACATGTCATGCACCCCGGCGACGCCGTCATGGTGGCACGATGATTGGAAAGTCTATACCCACTGCATCGCCAGCTGGATGTAAGTATGCTAGCTCTTACCTAGTCTATATACGTGGTCTCTTGACCCAGAACAAGTCCGAGTCGGTCCAAGTACAAAGACGACCAAGACTGGCAAAACCACCCATGACCAGCGTCTGCCATCCAGAATGCACAGCCTCGCTCGGAGCGCCATCCGAGCCCCGAAGCCTGGAGCGATGCGATGCAGCCAGCAAAGACCGACGCTATTACCCCACATTTTGGCGATCCTGGTTCCCCGCCTTCTTACCACGTTCGAACACTCGCCGCACACGTTGAACTCGTCGCCGCACCAGCCTTCTGACTCGCATAGCCTCCCCAAGCTTTCCATGCCATTGCTCTTGTCCTCGTGTACCGCCATTCCATGCATTGACGCCCTGAGATATGCATGTCACCCCGGGAATGGCCGTCTTGGATGCTGCCCAAGTTCCGTCTTTGTGTGCTGGCCAAAACCCATCACGAGACCCCTTTGAACAGCACTAATTTGCTTCTTTCTTCACCGCAAACACTATATGCTACTGACGGACACCATCAATCACCATGAGCCAGCAAGCATATCAAAAAGTCACCGCTCCCCACCCGACAACAGCCCATCTCACGCCGGGAATAGCGATAAAGAGGGGTGAGGATAAGGGTCAGGCATCACCTTGGATCATGCGGGGCACATGCAACCCTGCGAAGCCAGACCGCCGTCCATGTCCACATCCATCGGCGACTTGCCCAGCCGACGGCATTCGCACATGCTTTTGCGGAAAACATTTCTGACACTCGTCACCATGACATGGTTTCGTTTCCATCTGTCACGGCCAGCCACACACACACACACACACACCGATACTGCCTCTATACATACTGCAAGCGTAAGCGACAGAGGACAAGCACAGGTATTCCAAGCGCACACGCACATCGCAAACTCGGTCTGGCCTTGGCTGGCAACACCAGCTACAGGTACTGGTGTTCAAGTCTTCGCCCCCCTTTTTTGCTTTACCTGTAGTTTGCCGATCATTTGTCATGGCTGTTCGTGGGGGTCAATTGCCATTCAACGTCTGCATTAGGGAGAACGGCAGTTGCGGCCGCTGCTTGTTTGCCACGCCAATTCCGTTTAGCAAGGAGCCTCAACATATCTCAGCCAAGCTGATCGGATGGGATCCTCTCCACTGTCTCGGCGCGGGATGTCGCCTATACCCACGCTCTTCCCCCGACCTCAGGCTCGGGTCATCTCTACCCGTCTGTTGTTGCCTCTCCAAACATTTCAATCATAGACCGCAGTTGGAGCTGAATGATATTGCTGACACGATCAATGGCTGTCCCATTGTTGAGAAATTCGTATTAGCATCTGGGCCTTGCAGATCATTGAGTAAGTAATATGCTATAGGATGGATTGACATTACGATGGGCAGCCTGAGCAGGGGTCAAAATTGGAGACAAACAACCCCATGCAACAATTGGCTAGTGTCTCTCGATGTTGAAACTGCTGCTCTGCACGTCTTTGGACAACTATGCGAATTCGCATAGGATAGGTCCATTAAAATCTTGAATGCAATAGCCCCTCTCTACGGATGTCGGAATATCCAGTTGCCGGGCAGCCCTAATACGTAGATCAAGTGTTGGCATCTCCAAATGCATTCCTACAGACTGAGGGTTGACGTCTAGCCACAGACAGTCGATAGACGCTAGAGTCAAGATTTTTCACAAACCCACCCATGCAAGCGAGTATCTGCAAGGATCCTACGTATGGGCCAAGCTTTCGAGTCCATCGATCCATGACAATCCAAAAACACCATGTCTATCCTAGTTATTTGCTGGGCAGCGCTTGCGCGTAAGCCACAGATCCATATCATTACTCAACTCTGGCGGCAAATCCGGAGTGTAGTCGTATCGGGCCATATTGGTGCCATCGGCGTCAGTGGCTGCGCGTATATGGCGCATGTCTGCGGTCTGCGCCAAGTATAGCACATGCGCATCATAGATCCTCAACAGATCGTATAGTCTTACCCCATTGCGAAGAATCATCAGGCATACCTGCGAGCACGGGAATACTACTCGATCTTGCCAGACAGCCTATGTGTGTACAAAAACGGCATTGTCGGTTTGAAGGAAGTTATCCGCGCTTGACGGGTATAGTTCGGGTAAGGCGGAAACAATACATTCAATGTAACCGTGCAACATACTATCAATTTACTTCAATTTATCTGGAGTAAGCACACTACTTCTCAGCAGTCGTCCAGTTCGCGTCTGCGTCAATCACAATTCCCTATCACAGCCATCCCTCTTTCGGTATTTCGACACGAACAACACGCCAAACCAAGTTTTGAAGACCTCCACATGTCGAAAAACTCTTCCCGTCTGGGGTTCTAGTCGCATGCCCCTCGCCAGACCCTTGCGCTCAGCCGTTTATGTAGTCCATGTAGCGTGCACATGTTACCAAACCTCGGTCCGAAAAGGCAGTGCAGATCTTCCACCAATCTCGCTCTCCACTATTACAAACCAACCAGCTCGGCAAAGCACATTGCTTCTCTGAACGGTATGCACTTCCCCAGCTCTTGGCAATCGCCTTTTACGTCCAAGTACATACATGACATGTTGCGGTTTATTTGGTCGACTGATAGTAAATCGCGGCAAATGCGAAAACACAGGCAAGCTAGACGACTGCATTGAAAAGGACATGTGCGAGAACTTGATTTGTGAGTATCATGTGTTGGAGTTGCAGGATGCATTACCTAATGAAGGAAGATTGGACTTGAGGCATTGTAGGCGTTGCCCATGAACTCACAACCTTGCAGAAATTATGGTTTGACATCTGCGTCATCGCGAGCATTTAGACTCCGAATGAGGCTCTAAACTCGCACTACTCTTTTGGGAAAAACTCAATACACTTCATCTTTTTGTTAACTAAAACAACTGTAGTGTTGTCATTTACATATTTTAAAATACGCATTTATGTCCCTAGACTAACTACACGAGCAATCGAAGCATACTCACCACTCAACCCGGCTCACCAAACTACATACTAACGACAAAAAGACCATGTTGAGAATGGACACCATGCCCATCGCACACAACCCCCCCCCCAATCCCTCGACTATCCTCCCATACTCCCATCTCACCATCCACGCAACCCTCGTCATCCCACCCCAACCACACCGCCACCTCCAACCTCACCATCATCTCACCGACCGGAACCCGGAAGACCCCCCTCGTCAAACCTCCCCCCCCTTACATATACCTTCCGCCCTTCCCCGCCAACTACCCCCTAGTCCCCAGTCCCACCTCAAAGCCAGCGCAAACGTTTTTTTTTGGTTGCGTCGCTCAACCTTGTTTCCATTTCACCCCCACACCCGCGCTTGACGCAAACGTGGGGGTTAATTCCGTTACATTCGGTAAGGGTTATCCTGCTATTTTTCTGGCAACGCGCCGAAGTTGGACCGTTGGCTTGCTTCACTGCGATTGTGAGTCGGATGTTCCGATCGGGAGTTGTTACTGTTGTGTTAGGAGTTTTCTTGCTTGAGCTTTTTTTTTGGATGGGTGCAGGGGTACAGGGGGGAGTTGGGTCGGAGTTTTAGATGTTTGGGCTTGGACGTCATGTGGTTGTGTTTTTTTAGACGGCTTGGGCGTGGGGGTTTGGCGGTTGAAGATGTCACGTGGGGTGGTTATCTGGGAAGGTATAGCATGTATGGAGTTGTTTTTTTTTAAACTGAGGAATAGGATGGCTTGATGCCGGTATGGAAGAGATGGTGATGCGTAAGCTGGACATTGTACACACAGCCTTTTTTTTTCTCGTTTATTATTGGGGAGGTAAGAAAAAGGGCGCAAACGACGCGTAAGTAGGCGTCATGGTCGAGGGACATGTGTTGTCCGACTGGGTTGTTTACAGGGATAGGCGCGGGCAATCCCATCTTGTATAGTTGGTTTGCGGGTTACTTCCCCGTCTTGATCCGAGGTAAGCGGTGATGATGTGCTTAGGTGGGTTTACGGCTGAGCAAATGGGGTGCGTCGGCGCGGAAGTGACGGGCTTGGTGATTATCGGACCGTTTGGGGGGTGTTTGGTAATTTCCTTGTTTGTGACTTGACGGGTCGGAGTGATGGTATAAGGAGTGTTCGGTGGTTTTTTTTTGGGAGGGAATTGCGCTTTTTCCCATGTCAGCTAATGGGTCTTAGCTGGATTGATGCTGGGTTGTTGATTAACTTGTCGGTGTGGTGAAGAGTATGTTGTCGGGTTGTGGAACACTCAGTCCCTGTCCCAGAAAGCATTCGTCGCTGCTAGTAGTCTTGAAGCCTTCTTATGCACTTCCATCGGCCGAGTCACCAAGTAGACTTTGCGGCGTCAAGCTATAGCAATGGTTATATTGATGCTATCCAACTATTTACAGAGTACACACTCGTGCTTTTGCCAGCAAGTAGCACGTTGTAAAATCCATACCCAAGTCAACAACTCATCGCTCCAGTGTTGCTGGGTTTCCCGAGAACCACTTCCAATATCACTGTCACGTTAGTTACAGACTTGTATCAGTCCCTTAATTGAACGAACTTGCTCACCTTAACCTTATCACCCAAACCGCCCGCCACATCGTGAAAGGGATATATCCGATGCCCAGGTGTTTCTGAGCATCCACCCGCAACGAGGCTCTGCCTAGGCCGCTCCAGAATTGCGCGTAATCAGGCTGTTTTTGACTACCACGGTTTTCTCAGCTCCTGGCTTTATGGGACGTTCTGGCTGCCATGCATTTGGTACTGGCACATCGTTTCGCAGCCCAGCTATCCTGACGTCGCTCCAAACTCGTGTTGCCGGAGCATTTTTAACTTTCGCCCATATGTAGGCCAGCCTATCCATACCCCTCAATCTTATTCCAACAACTGTATGCGTTTCCGTTGCGATCCTCGTGTGAGGGCGATCTAGCTCTGTCCACCGCTTGGCGTCTTCTGGGTGTATCGGCTGCAGTGCGATGCTGGTTCGTTGGGCGATGACTACTTCCTTGATAGCCATGCCAGTTCCAGGCCCTGAGTATGTTGTAGGGAGAAGGGAATTGGTAACACGACCATCCTCTTCGTGTGCGCAATCTGTCAACTGGAATTGAAGAGCCGAATCCAGACCTATTCTTGCGTCCGGCAGCTGGCCGCCGTCGATGGTACAAGAACGGCCGGACTCGAAAAAGAGCTGGATGGTCGGGAAGAAAGTATTCATGGTCCAGTAGATGATTTCTAGCCCTCATCAGTCTCGTTGTCTCCACATATGGTACTGGTTGTATGTACTTTCGTCGACGAGTTGGTTGGCCACGACTGTCGATCCAAACTCGGCTGTGTGCCCCAGATTGACGTTTTTGGGAATGAAGCCGCCTTGGATTATGGTTTCCACCGTCGTTGCTTCGGATCCTCTTCGCTCGTCGTCGTTCGCCAAAGCCTCGCTCAGCTCGTCCCGGGGTCTCAAGGGCAGTCCCAGCTTGCGCCGATTTACCTCTCGCCATAGATCTTCGACCGGGCATTTATAGTATTCCATATGACGGAGCTGCTAGCGGCTTGTGTGGAGGTCCTGGTAGAGGTTTGAGGCGCGAGATCCCGCGCTGTGCCTCTGATTGGTAATTGTGGCTATCAATCAATTAAGATGTGATTGTAAACAATGAGAAGACTAATTGTGGTCCAAATTCAAAGTGAAGGAGTGTATTCAGGTGCTAGGGGCAGTGTTTGTTTTCACGTGCAGCTTACAAAATTACTCTACGCTCATTGGGAAGGAGTGGACGTCAAGCGATCCACAGTGAGAGGAAGGGACACCCAAACTTCTCGTCATGTCTTCCACGTCATGACTCCTTGTCAGGCTTGACAGTCTACGGGCTCAGACAACTCTCTTGTTGTGCGGATATCGCAACCAGCCTGTAGCAACCAGACTCTGTTTGTCAGCCACCGCGCGGACATTTGTTGGGCATTGACACTACTTCTGTGTAGATGTTCGATTTTATATTGCCGTAACTACTATGTATGCTGGCGTTACCTTGATTTCAAAACCCATAAATCAGCTGGATCATGACCCTTTCCTTCACTTACACCCCTTCACCTACAATTTACGATGTGCACGTGTTTCACTCCATTGCAGTTGCAAGCTCGAAAGAGATTGCGCTAGAGTCTCACTCACCCTTTTTCAGTTCACGATTTGGTATATTCCCGTAAAATATTTCGTGGCTATCTGTTAATTTCACGTCATACTGTATGTTAGACAGGCAACCACTGAGAGGCGCACGCTGAGACCCATGCAACTTGGTGAAAGGTAGCTAGGCGTATATCATTCACTGACCTGTCACCTGACCGGCCACCTTGGCACACTCCCACTCACATATATATTCTTGACACTGTGTCCATGCTTCTGAGCTCACAGTGCGTCTGCTTTTCGATATCAAAAGATCAGCTTACAATCACTACGCATCACCAGCAAGATGACACCAACAACAAGGAACGTCCAAAGCTTTTACGACTTCCTTGCACACTCTGCAGGTAGGCACCCTCATCAAGACATTAGCGGTTCTTACTGACTATATCAAAGAGATCCGAAATTTCATATACGAGTTCGCCATCGCTGCCGGAACACCGGACACACCAGAAGGCGACGTTCTAGTTCGAGAGGCTGTCCCAGAGCCATATGCAACACGTCCCTGGAAGTTTTTCGGCCTCACACAGACCTGTAGGCAGATTCGGGCTGAGTTTCGTCCGCTCTGGATGCGAAGCACTTCCATTCGGCTCATGGGACTCGAGGCTTCAGTGTCGTTCATCTCGACCTTCATGCCGACCATTGCTGAGTTCAAGCATGCACCAGAGCGTTTCACCATTGGAACGCAATATGAGATCGGCCAAGATTCTCAACGTGATATAACACTTCTATTCCGCATGAACGCACTCTGTCCCTATTTCTGTATTAGCTTCGCCCCGTTTGAGGATATCATGGGGCGACCACCTCCAGACGAGAGAATATGCACCTGCTGCGAACAGTTCTTCAACCCCCAAACTGGAGAGTGGAGTGGCACCGGCATCGAGGAAGATTGCACATGTATACCTTCAGATGCCGACTTGCAGGACCGGGCGGACTGGGAGGGATTTCATGACGAAGAACTGATATATATGGACCCTCTTTACGAAATCCAAGGCTCCAGCGAGGCTTGGTGGAGAGATCTGCAGGATAACAAGATCTCAATCTACATGACCGCCTCCTTGGTCAATCTTGTGCCAAGATTCCGCATTGTGTACAAAGCACGGAGGCTCAAGAATGGTAGCAGCCGTCGTCTTATAAGAGGGCTACGGGACGGATGGGGTCTACGCGTTCTCAGAGAAGACTACGATAATGTAAAGTTTTGTGTACAGTATAGAAAGAGCAGTGAAGCAAGAGCGGCGACGTAGAGGTAGAGGTGTTGCCTAAACTCACAAAGGCGCTGATTGTATGATTTGGATGTAGACTTATTGCACAGCGGTCTTTTGAATATAATTAAACTAACTCCTCAGCCTCATCTCCATACAAGACAGTCAAAGTGATGTTTAGTATTTCTTGACATATCGAACGCATGGCCGCACAAGTCACCACACACAATTCATCACGATAAACATATAGAAACAACACGGTTCAATTCCAGCTCTAGTAATCATACCAATCCCCAAATCTATGCCCTTAATAAATGTGCGACGACCACTGAAGCCCGAAGTTTGTGGTGGGATATGTATATGGTGTGAATGCGAGCCGACATGATTGGCCAAACGAACCTTGTCGATCGCGCATCGCCCGATCTCCCCCGGCAGATATCGATGACGCTCCAAAGATGAGATATCCACAAACACGACCCAACGCGGCTAAACAGCATGATTGCTTTAGCCACAATGACGCCTACTTTCTCGACACACCAGCGGATGTGGCTGCCGGATTTCAGAAGCTCGTGATGCTACTCTCAACCACAGTCGCGCTTCACGTCCGGAACACCATACACCACCGTATGCTGTGACTATCATGCCTACACAAGATGAGCGCGCACCGCTATTGCAGCAGAGATATAGCGAAGAGGGACAGCCTTGTACAGTACGTCATCTTCACACACGTGATTCAATACACCAAATGAAAGATTTACTGATTTGCGATAGCATCTGCGTATCGAAGACTTACCCAGCGATGAAAACCCACGAGAATGGACCAAAGGCCGGAAAATGGCAAATGTGGCTGTCATAGCCCTCATGTCAAGTACACACACCAAGCTACCTTCTTCCTGCATATCCTTTGGCTAACAAATATATTCAGTCCTCAGTCCCCTGGTCTCATCTATGTTCACGCCAGGTATTGCACAAATCGCCAAAGACCTCAACTGCTCCACAACCGCTGTCATCGGCACGACGACTGGCTTCGTAGTTATGCTAGGCATCGGACCCTTGATTCTCGCACCTCTATCTGAGACGTTTGGCCGGAGGAAAATCTATCTCACATGCTTCTGCATCTTCACGCTCCTCCAAATTCCCACCGCACTTGCGCCCAACATCGCCTTCTTGATCACAGTACGAAGCATCACAGGGTTCTTCGGTAGCGTAGGCATTGCAAATGGCGGCGGCACCATAAGCGATATGTTTTTGCCCAACGAAAGAGCGGGTGTGTTTGGCTGGTATCTCCTTGGTCCCCTTCTAGGTCCCACCCTCGGACCCCTGTTCGGAGGGCTGATCGTCCAACGACTTGGCTGGAGATGGGTCTTTTGGATCATGACCATCGTCTGCTTCATCAACACGCTTGCTGGATACTTTTTCCTCCGCGAAACGTACGCACCCGTGATTCTGAGCGGCAAGAAGGCAGAGTTCGAGGCGCAAACGGCTGAATGGGATGCCACGAAGTACTCGTATGAAGGCGAGGATGCGCGACCCCTACGCGAAAAGATTTCACAGGCTTTGAAGCGCCCTCCGAAGATTTTTGCGCAGCCTATTGTTGCTGTCATGGCGGTATATCAGGCTCTCATCTTCGGCACTACGTACAGCATCTACACGAATATGCAGCCCATCTACGAAGATGACTACGGGTTTTCGACTGAGCAGGTTGGGCTGCTCTATCTCGGACCAGGCTGTGGCTTCCTATTTGCAGTATGGTTTCTTGTCCCACGCATCGATACAGTGTACAAGTCACTCACAGCCAAAAACCACGAGAAAGCTCGACCTGAATTCCGCCTGCCGCTGGCTAACATCGGATCCGTCTTTATCCCAATGTCTCTTTTCTGGTTTGCTTGGGCAGTCGAGAAACACACGCACTGGCTCGTCTCTATCGCTGCGACATTCTTCTATGGCATCGGACAGGTCATGATTCTCAACAGCACGCAGAACTACTTTATTGACAGCTTCGAAAAGTACGCTGCAAGCGCGATAGCAGCTGGTACTGTTTTCCGCAGTGTAGTCGGTGGCATTGTTCCCATCCTTGCGCCTGCGCTGTTCGAGAAGTTGGGCTATGGCTGGGGTATCAGTACATTTGCATTCGTGAGCTTACTCCTTGCACCCGCTCCGATCTTGTTTTATATTTTTGGGGAGCGACTCAGGGATCGTTTTCCCGTAAGCTTGTAGATCATGGATCATGATGGTTATAATGATAGTTTGAGTGGAATTTCTAAAGTTTGTTGAACGTGATCAAGGATACGAATTTGCTCCCATCAAGTGCTCTCGTAACCTTCCTCAGAGCACTTCCATTCAGACCACCTCAAAAGCATCTATGTCCCCAGTAGGCAGGTCGGGCACGCCTACTGCACGCCTCGCCGCATCAATCATAGCTTCCACAACCTCAGGCGGGTAATTCCTCTTGAGCATCACTCTCACATACTCGCTCAACAGGTTCAGTCCCACATCTCCAATCTGTTCCTCAGTCAACTTCTCATACTCTCCTTCCTTCAGATCCATCCTAGCTAACCGCTGCTCCAAAAGAATATCGTATACTCTCACAACACGTTCCATATTCTTCTTGTTGGAGCGACTGTGGAAATATTGACTACGCACAGATTCTGAATCGCGCGCCATGTCTACCCAAGCCATTTGTTTTTGCAAGATCTGGGCTGCTTTGTTGGTTGGAAATATGGAAAAGTGGTGACGGAGAACATGCAGGGCAATGAGCGAGCCAGCGAGGTCCTGAGTGTAGCCAAAACAGTGCATGATGAGTGACGTTATCGCTCCTTTGTCGGCGCCTGCGATACCCATTCTGAAACGATCAGCGTCGTAGCGACTGCGACTTAGAATTCGCCAGGATATCGTCTCTTTCAATAGCTCGCGAGGAGTGGGCAGGGCAGGATCATTCCGGGTGGCGTGATCTCCAAGTGCTAGGCGAAGCGTTTTCCAAAGACAACGGAGACTTGCACCATTTGGGTAAACGCCTTTACTGCCCTCTTGTGGGTTAGTGAGGGCTTTGTAAACCATCCAGGCTTCACTGTAAGCACCCTGGCGACACTTGTTGTCCATGATGACGTTCATGATAGTGGCATTCGGCTCAACAGTCGTCTCCCTGAGCTGACGGGTCAGGTACTCAACATGTTCCCATTGCAAGCTCTTAGCGTGATGTTGCATGATCAGAGCGAACGTAGTAACATTGGCTGCAGGAACACCTTGTACAGTACCTGCACCCGTTTCGCGGTCGATAAACCTCTTGTCGATGCTACCGGTCTGTGGATCCGATGAGTGTCTCGCGCGGGCTTTGCACGCTTCATCAATCATGCGCCATCCGATGTTCTCGGCCTTAAGAATATTGGGGGTGTCCTTTGTACGTATCAAAGCTTTAAGCAGCATGTTGAAATGGAAAGTTTCTGGTTGATATCCTCTCTTCAGCATCACATCCAGGATTTGAGCAGCTGCCTCCGGTGCCTTTTCCACAACAGCGGACTTCATCCAATCTCCAAATATATGACCGTGATAAACAGGCGGGAGAACTGAGATGGCATTGAGAGCGATACTAGTCATCTTGGAAATGTCGGTGCCAAGATGATACAGCAAATGCAATCTCCTCAAGACTGACTCGGCTCGACCAGTAGCTCCGCTGACAAGCAAATAGCCACCCTTGACCATGTCCTGGAACACTTGCTTTGCGTCGGTCAGACTGCGGGCCTCCAGAAATCCCACAAGCCAAGCGTCATAGTCCTCGGTCGTGCAGGCGTCGCCTTTCTGCTCTCTCATCTTGACGTATATTTGCTTTGCAATATGATGGTGTTCTTGGAGATCCGAGCTTGTGTGAGCGCGAAATACAACCATCATAACAGATGTGTCCCAGCTAGGATACAGACGGAAGAGCTCGTCCATAATACACCGGCTGCGATCTACATTTCCAAAGAAAGCATGTAGCTTAGCTCCAATTTCTAAATGTTCCGGGCTATGGCCATGTGTTGCACTCTCAGGATCCGAACTATGGTCCTGCTCCCATGCGCTGATAGCGTAATCTTCCCTGCCACTAAGAAATACTCTTTCGAGATATCCGGCCCTCTGCCCAACAGTCATGGTCTGTCCCACCTTCTCCATGTCACAAAGAAGCTGCTTCAAGTGGGCCTTTCGGTTTCGGTTATTGGGCGAATCAGCAGACTGGGTCGTCCATAGTAGATCCCAGGCTCTTTTCGAGAGACGTGTCAAAACTCGAGGATAGATTGCTTTTGATAGCATATATGCCCGCCACAAGGGTGCGCGAAGACTATCATCACGGCCATCGGTGGCACTGACCGACCGTAGTATAATGTGAAGCCTTCTGAGCGCATATAGGTTCTTGGAATGACCATCTTCCAGAGCGATCAATGAGTGTTGTATATTTGCGAGCTTCTTAAGCTCTGCGGTCCGAGTTATGTCGCCAAGGGCTGCCTCCGAGTCAAGCTTAGGTCCATTCAGCGTCTTAAGTAGACCGGTGGGTTTTTGTATCGTCGGATTCCATTGTGGAACGTATGTCGGTATTTCGCGAGGGAGCGTTCGGAGAAAGCGCGTCTGGAAGTGTGGAGCGGAGTAGGATGGGCATCGGAGTCGACAGAGACCGAGCATCAGCCGGCACAGTCGCGAATGGGCGAAAATAAGAGAACAATAACTCAATTTCGTCGCATTTCAAGGGATGACGGTTGTGCCTGTTCCCAAGTTCTCACTTTCGAAAAATGTCCAATAGGCGCTAGTGTTATCGATAAGGATGACGTAACGCATATTCACGTGATGCTGTACACGAAAGTCTAGGCCCAGTAACAATGCTGAACGTCTATCGCTTTACTTCCTGGTTTCGTGGATACGAAATCCTCTGGTTTCTATCTCTCAGCCTTCCAATTTGAAAAAAAGTGTACTTTATATGTGTGGTTCAGAATGACCAGACTTACTTTCAAAACTAGAAAAAAACCATGTGAAGGAATATTGAATATCTGCCACCGTCTTCTTAGAATTACACAACTCCATGGTATTGGTATCCGAGAAAGAAGAGCAGGTTCCAATAGCCACTCCGAGAAGAGTGCCGTCATTATGTGTAAAGATCTACGCTACTTTTCATGACCATTTCGACATCGCCTGAGAGCTTGAGAAAGTCATGAGAGGGCATGTAGTTGACTACGTGGAGTATGGCGAACAAGTTATTCCCGCTCGATCGAGTGTACACTAGACACAACCTGGGGTTTTCTAAGCCCATGAGTCGATGAGATGTGGAGCCGTTTGTTTCGGTGTTAATTGAATGATCGTACGGGAATAGGAAATCAAGAATGCAAATAACAAGAAAAAACCATCACGTTATTGGGTTTTCAAGATGAATAGGAAACCCCCCTCGGCCGACGGGGTTTCTGATGATCGAGATCCCCAAGATACAACCTTTGTTTCGCATGTGGCCGGGTGACGCCGCAATAGAGTTTGCATGGTGTGTGAGAACATCTCGCTTCGCCACAATCAGGCGACAGATGCAGATCAATGTCAGAGATTTTGAAGCCGAGGATGCGCCTTGATCACAATATGTAGTTTGGAACTGATATCGGGATAAGAAAGATTCCAGGGAGTGAATACAGTGGCAATGATTTCGAGCGGAGCAATGGAAGCATGTGTAATAGCCATGTTTGGATCGCGGTGTCTCTTCTCGCCGACACAAGTAAATACCTTCATGAATGGTTGAGAAGCTGTGCATCTAAACACCTTTTTCTTTTCCAGAGATCCAGTTGCATATGTATACATCAAAAATGCCGAACGCTATCATCGGAAAGCGCACCAATGACAACACAGCTTTGTATATTCAGCGAAATACAGCCAATGAGGGGATGTGCGGTGTCGATATAAAGACGCGTACTGCATGGTAATGCGACCCTTAAAGATGTGCTAACAAGCAATCCATTCCTTCCCGTAGCTCGCACCGTGGTGATCGCCGACCGCTGGCACGTGGGTGGTTAGTAGAGATGCGCGGCGCCGATGACCAACCGCTTACAACGATTTGCAGAGCGATCGCCCAACCAAGGCCCGAATGTAGTCCGGCAGAGGTGCGAGAATATGTCATCGCTTCCCGGCTTATGTGCGGAACTTTCCATCACTACCAAAGCATCGCGCTAAAAACTAAGCTAGATAGAGTACCAACCCAAGGTAGAGGCAGGTCGGAATGTGGGTTGTGGGCGTAGCTTGACAGACAAGCGCATGGAGTAGATGGAGTAGCGGTAGAGTAGCTATGGAGTGTCCATAGACAGGAATCGGAATGTGGAGATCGCCTTGCGTTGTTATTCCAGTCCCTTATCTTCAAATTTATACGCATGTATCGTTGGTATAGAGGAATCACCGATATTTCTCGGAGGTGCCTCGTTCCGGTGAAGAGCTTCAGCTGTCGTGGCTGTGCCCACATACTGACTTCCATCGACAGGACTGAGTGTGCGTGCAAGTATACGCTATTTTACATTCATGTGTATGCGTGGATCAAATGCATGTAAATACCCTGCATCGAGACCGTAAGGATACGAATGATGAACGCGGGGATGTGATGCTTGTGCTTGCGAGTCACGACGTTGGGTCGCGATGTTCGGCCGACATTCAACCTTAAAAAGACTGGAACACTTGCGTCACAGCCGCCACTGTGGTCGGACGCGATGCATGCGACCCGTAAGAAAGGGGCAGGCGTCCTGGAAATCTTAATTCACCCTGTCGCGTGGCCTCGTTTCAATGTCGTGTCAGGTATAGTATGTAAGACTGCCCTATCAACCGGGGGTGCTTTGCCTTGTGCTATAAGATATATGGTTTCTACAATTTTGATACTTCGAAGCGACTGGTTTCTAGATTCATCGGATAGAAATTCGGGAAAATAGAGCCCCTAACACGTGGAGTGTGTCATGTAATGGATGTGAGTGGTAGAGAATTTTCGGGTGTGGCGTCCTGGGTTCGGAGAGATGCCTCCTAGTTCTAGTACCGTTTGCCATTGGCACCCAAACGGTAACTTGGCTAGAGGATGCCAATACGTGTGCAGCCTATCGTCATTGGAACGAAACCAGAAGAGCTGAAAGAACAAACTAGCAAAGGATATTGGAGGGGTGGCGTGTGTCATGTAGGAGGCGCCCTGCACTTTTCTCCCTCGTGGAGACACTAGACTGACACTCAGCCTTCCCAGGAATAGACCGGTTGGCTCTGTAAATCCCCTTGTTTCACGCCCCCTAGAGATTTCGCATGTAATTGACATTGACATGTGCCAAATTGCGGGATGCTTATGCTTGTACATATCTGCTAGGAAGAGTGGAGCAGCGGGTGGCGTCGAGAATTTGGGGTGCGGCCCTGGTGGACGTAGCATGTAGGTATGTAAGGTGATCGACACCGTTGCGAACACGATTTGCAAGAAGAAAGTGCCGGTTGCCATGTGGCACAAGCAGCTAAAGCGTACCATAGCCCTTTTGCCGAGAGAACTAAGTATTCATGGTGGACATGCCCACGGGCGGGTGCGGATGGCCTCAACCTGAACGCCTGCATTACCTACTTAGTGGTGGTGCATGCCCAGTCGCTTCTTCCGCCGCTTGGGCGCGGAACCAGACACTATCTTCGGGACACTCTCCGGCTTTGCTATGGGTTCACGATAACCCACCCTGTCTCAGTGCCCTCTAAAGAATTCCAAGCATCGGAAGACGCCAAGTAAGGCTGGACTTTGAAGGATTTCGCTCGGCAAAGGTGCCTGGTGAGGCTCAGCGGCACAAGTCCGGGGCCTGGCTCCTTTCCCTATCTCGACCATTCCTGCATGTTAGGCGAACCCCTTCACTCTTGTGAGCCCACTGTTCGCGAAAAGTATGATCTCCGTTGCCGACCGCGATTGCCCTGCAGGGCCTGCAGAGAGATCCACTTCAACATGTCTGGGGCAACTCCGCTTATCCCAGTCGTAATTTCATCATTGGTTGTATTCCATGCCTGTGGGACCTAGTGCAGGTCCTGCCATGCGTGGAGCAGGGATTACCTCTACGGCAACGGAACTCTGATTGCGATGAAGAATGCCGCTTGGTGAAAGACACTAGATTCGCGCAGGCCCCGCCTTCCACTACGCTATAGTTACCGTCTTCCTTCGCATGGCGCCACGTTACTACAATCGTTCGTCTCTCTTCTACTTTTCTCGAAAGAGCTGGTCCCTGGAGAACAGTGGCTTGGACTGGTTCCTCGCATGATACTAAATACTCTCCGCTCCCCCATGCAGCATCGGAGTCGGGACTTGTTTTAGAACACGTCTGCTTTCTTAGTTCGTTTGTTCAGTCTCGAGTCGCGTGCGGGCGAAAGAAAGAATGAAGTCCCTGCAATTCCTGCTCTCGTTGCTAGTATGGATGCAGCTGGCACTTGCCCAGGGTCAGGTTCCCGATGACTCGGCTTTGATATTAGCAGTGGAACAGCTTCCCGACTGCGCGGTATGTCCCCTCCTTGATGATCCTGAGGACGTCTACTAATACAACTATCTAGCAAGAGTGTCTGGTCACGGCTGTCTCCAAGTCATCATGTGCATTGAACGATGCAACTTGCATATGCCAAAATATGCAATTACAGCACCAAGTCGAGATTTGTGTACATAAAACATGTACGCTGAGGCAAGGGCTGAGTGAGTGTTTCTTTATCGTGACTATGAGCACCGCTAATTTGAAATCCAGTGACCAAAAATGCGACCATGACAGTATGTCACGCTCCGATACGTTATAGAGGCGAGAGTGTCCGCGTATCCAACATTATCATTGCGGTCTTGACCGCTGCCTTCGGTCTTACTAGACTCTTTTATAGAGGATTCTTCTCTGGTGGCGAGTTCGCGTATGACGACTGGTGCGTTGTCGCCGCTCTGATTTCAGGAGCACCGTCTGTTATCATCATTGACCGGGCTGTCGTGCCCAACGGACTCGGAAGAGATATTTGGACGGTCCACCCTGACCAGATCACCGAGTTTGCCAAGTATCTTTTCGGATTGGAAGTACTCTACTTCTTCCACATCGCTTTATTGAAGCTCATGCTCCTTTTCTTCTTTTTGCGGATATTCCCAAAGCAGAGCATCAAGAGAATCATTTGGGCAACTATCGTCTTCACCTGCCTTTACGCCATCGCATTCATCACCGCGTCGATTTTCCAATGCCGACCGATATCATACAACTGGTGGAAATGGGACGGAGAGCACCAAGGTCAATGCATCAACATCAACGCCCTTGCGTGGTCCAACGCCATTATCAGCATCATCACGGATATTTGGATGCTTGCTGTACCCTTGTGGGAAGTTTTTCAGCTACAGTTATCCTGGCGCAAGAAGTTGAGCGTAGCTATTATGTTCTGCGTGGGTACATTGTGAGTTTAGCCCATGCCCATTGAGAGAGCTCAAGTACTGATTTTACATCCAGCGTGACCGTCATCTCCGTTCTTCGTCTACGATCTCTTGTGACTTTTGCCGCTTCCAGTAATCCAACATGGGATCAGGTCGACGTCATCACTTGGTCAAATCTCGAGCTCAACATCGGCATCATGTGCGCCAATCTACCAACATTACGCGTCATACTCGTACGATTGTTTCCCAAGATCCTGGGTACAACCAGAGCCACCGACCGAGCAGCTTACTACGGAAATGGAAATCAAAGTTTCGGAATGAAGAAAGAGGATGTTGCTTTAGCAAGCAAGGGAGGAAAGTCGTTCGGTTCGAGGAAAGGAGGTGATCCGGATGTCATCACATATACGACCACTTACGAAGTACGACATACTGATAGCGATGAGCAGTCGCTTGTGGCACCGGATATGGGTCGATTCGGCCAGCAGAAGCCAGCGAACCAAAGTAGTCGCACAAGTATCTCAAGCGTATAATTTCATAGTTTTATTATATCTCTTTTAATATCAAACCAACTATTCTTAGTAAGAGTTCCAAATTCCCGGAATCAATATTCTCATAATGTATCCATGGATAGTCCCAGTGCAGGAACCCCGCCAAAAGGTGCATTGGTCAAGCAGCTACACTATACTCATGACAATTAGAGATCTAGTATTTCTAACCCCGCGTTTCCTGATTCGGATAACAAAGTAGTGTACGCTAATGCCAGAGGCTAAACAAAGGGTTAGCTAGGCTAGGCCCTGTATCCCAGCAATGCTTGACGACACAACTAGTTCAAAATACATAGGTGGTCTCACTTTTATTTGAATAAATCATACTAATATTTCGTAGTGAATATCCTGCCTACTCCTAATATCGCATCTCAGGAGTCGCTATAGTTCTGCCATTGCCGTAACATATAACATCCTTTTAGCCAGCTCCTAATTCTAATGTGGACCTGTTAAAGGTGTTTCTCGACAAGTACTTAACGTAACATGCTGAATACGTCAATTTAATAGCATCTCTAAAATATTTTCATAGGATAGTCGTCACTGGAATCAGCCATAACAAGAAATTTCACTAGTTAGTCTAAAGGGGTGTTTTCAATAGATTTGCGCCATAAAGTGCATATTTGATCAAATGGAAATTAAAAAGTCTATTTATATGATATCGTCTAAACTACAAATACAGGGTATCTTCATCGTCGGTACTTGTTTTCATACCGAGAACCTAGTTCTTGAGCACATATCGGTACCTAGGGAGGCCCTTTTCAAAATCGACAATAACATCGTTGGCCTCGGACATGGGCCTGACCTGGACCCAAGCCTTGAGGTTCGTCTTCTTTGCCAACTCCAACATGTCAGCAATGTGCTGCCTAGTACCGATGAGAGAACCAGCAATCTTCAAGTTCTTGAAGATCAAGCCCATGGGGGAGAAGCTGGGAAGTGGGTCGTCGGGAGCGCCGAGCTGGACAAAAGTACCGTTTACGTCGAGGAGGTTGAGGTACTGGTCGAGCGCGAAACCGCCAGAGATGGTGGAGATGATGATGTCGAGGCCGCCAGCGTTCTTGTTCATCCATTCGGGGTCCTCGCCGGTAGCGATGAACCTATCAGCACCGAGTTCCAGCGCGTCGGCCTTCTTGGAGGAGGAGCGGGAGATGGCAACGACTTCGTCGCAGCCGAGGGCCTTTGCGAAAAGAAGAGCAAAGTGACCGAGACCACCGATGCCAACAACGCCGACGCGCTTTCCTGGACCCGCACCGTAGGTAACGAGGGGGTTGTAGACAGTTACACCACCGCACATAAGAGGAGCAGCGTACTCAGAAGGAAGACCCTCGGGAATAGGGATAGCGAAAGAAGCAGGTCCGCGCCACTTCTTTGCGTAGCCTCCTTGGGCCTTATCGCCAGTCTTGTACTTTGCGTTGTAGGTCATGACAAAGTTGTTGCAGTTGGACTCTTGCTTGGCCTTGCAGGGACGGCAGCTCTCACAGCAGTCAGACTGCGCACCAACACCGACGCGGTCGCCAACCTTGAGGTCCTTGACGGCGTCTCCAACACGAGTGACCTTGCCAATGATCTCGTGACCAACGACGAGAGGGTAGTCTGAGGGGCCCCAGCCAGAGCGGAGGGTATGGATGTCGGAGCCGCAGACACCGCAGTGGCTGATTTCCATCTCAATGTCTGTGGACTCGAAGTTCTTAGGGGTGTAGTCGCCCCATTTCATGTTGCCATCGGCGGCAGAGGGGTCGTGAGCTACCCAGCCCTGGAAGTCGGATGATGAAGACATCTTTCTCGTTCGCTTTTGTTATGGAAAATGAAATGCACAAGATGGGGATTGAGAAATGGTGTTGTAGTTGTGTGAAATGAGATTTGTTGGCTGAATTGGTGACTATACAAGCTACACGGCTCAAGTTTTATATACCCTCGTTTCCTTCAACCTTCTAGAAAATTTCCTGGACATTTGTAATACATCAAAAGACGGTCTGGTGTATGAGGTATGTCCGTATGGATATCCCGGTGTTTTGCCCTTTCGCCGATCTACGCCGTTGGCACCGGACCCACTTTTACCACGTTTTCGAGCCTCAAAGCGGGGCGTGCACTTCTATCACCGTTAACCCCGGCCCAGAAGGTCCGAAAAAGGTTTACATCTGCGGCGACAAGACTGCAAAAATCTCGGACATGGCTCGCAGTGAAGACGTCAACATATCGCGCCCCTGTCCTGAGACGATGTTCGATCTGCCGGCGCAACGTGGCAACCCGTAACAAGGAATGATACCTATGCGGCCCTCGATTAGCTGCCGTTGACGTTTCGTCATTCGAGATCGGCTGAGAGGTCTACTTGCCGATTCGTCAGCTACGGCATCATTACTACGGATATACTGCAAGTTATGGATCTGTATCCATCGAAGAGAAGAAGCTCGGCCGACGTCAGAGGTGCTTCTAGGACGCGGGGCGTCCTAATCATAGGTTAGCCGCAAAATTCTCCGGCCGTAGATAAGATCGGGGTTAAGCGAACACATCTCCTTGCATCACCAATTGCTGCATCGTGCATTCATACCAAACATTTCTGCTATGTCTGCATGCGTTTCCCCTCCACTGATTCTTGATGTTGTTCTCCCAGTATCCTTCTCACTTTCAAGAAGGACGTAAATCAAATTTTCTTCACATGAGTAACTAGTCTGGAGCTATGCTCAAAGTACACGATAAGCTGAAGAGAATGCCGAATTTGATCTTAGGGAATAGCAACGATGAGCATGATTTTTACACTCAAGCAAAAACAAGAGCGTTGTTCAATTGAAACCGGTTGGATCGCCTTGGCACAAAATCTGATCGAGTGCGACGGAACATTCGGTGGAGAAAAGTGATATCTTTTCCTTCTTCTCATCTTGGCATTTGCATCGAGAAGTTGTGAGTTATACATATGCTCAATACCAAACAATATATGAGTGTCGTATTAAGTGTTCATTTCTAGAGAGTTCTGGAATATGGACACTCAAGAGCCGAGGTTTTTGTCGCAGCAAAACATGACCAAGACGGCAGTTTCAAATAAAGGCATTGGCCCTTTCCATGTCAGGATCTATGATCTAGTCTAGTCGCTAGTCCTCAATCGCAATAGCTTCATATTCTAGTTCAGTTGGTGTTCTCATAAGAAGAACTCCCTCACCGTATAGTCGTTTCGACCATACTTTCAATCTAACACCACACCCACAACCATCTGAAATAGAACTTCTCTGCACCAGAACTCTTCTGTGGTTATATGCGAGGCTGATTTCCTATAAAAATCCTCTGCGACATAGGAGATGGGAGATCATAGCGAGCATAATATGTAAACCGGTTTATCTACCGAACCAGTTGGCGTTGCAATCTCTTCACATCCTCGCTCCGCATCGTCATCGCCACATGCAAGCACCATCCATCATAGATTACCGCGGCGCATGAGCAAAACCAATCGGGCCGGTCGGAAAAAAATCGGTAGCAACCGTCCCTGCCAGGCTCTGACCGAGAAAAAAAAACATCCGTCTCGTACTCGGTCTGATGCGCTAACGAGCCGTCCCGCCCAACTTTCTTCTTCGGACTCATGCATTGTAAACCGACGCTAGTCTCAACATCTAGCCCCTTCGTGTAACCCAAATAGGAGAGCCCTTGATCAAGGAACGCAGGGGCACTGACGTAGTGTCTGGTTCGATGCTTTGCTCGCTGCAGGCTATTAAAGGTGCAGGGAGCGTGCAGAGGTATGGTCGCCGAAGTATGGACAAACAGAGCGTTTGCTCTAGCAATACCTGCCCGTAAGGCCGATTGTGTATTTAATATATCTCCAGTTCCGATGGTAGTCCAAGGGATGATCGGCACGGGTTCTGTTGCGGATGGAGATGCTGTCATGACAACACTGATGTGTAGTGAATGCGGAAGATGGTGAGGAGGATACTAGATTGCCTTGAATAACAAGAGAGAAAACGGCGGTGAGCATTGAACAGTTTCATGATTGCAATGAGAAGAAACTCAAAGTGCTGGGCTATTGGTAAACATGTATCAAGATACCATACATCACAACAATTTCCAAAAAAAAGATATACACTGCACGAAAGGCAATCTACATATGTACCAATGACTCCCATAGTTTCTTTGCTAAACACATCTAATCGCAAAAGCTTCCCGTTTCCGCACTTGCTGCCTATGCATCCGTATCTTGCGTCACAGTCTACTGGTGCTTGCGAAAAACCGGTACTGCAAGACCAACAACAACACAGTCTCATGCACCGTGCCACATCCCGACTTTACCGATTATTTCGTTAATTGGGTAGTATCGATGAATGGGCAAGTAGGCCGATCCCAGTCTGAACAAACTGCCACACTGTCCCGTGCGCTTTGAAGCGAAGGGAAATAGGCAGCCACATAGGATAGAATTTTCGTTCATATAATTCCGTGGATGATTACTAAGTGCAATTGTTCATGTAGATGTGTAAGAGGCGTAAAGTTGCATGTCGGCGATTGATCTGATCGGTATGCATGTATCGTGGTTGGCTGGTCAGACGCATGCAGAGGGGTGTTTTCTTTGTCGGCTAGGGCGCCTTACTAATGGTTTGGGACTGGATAGAGATTATAGTGATTGTGCCATACGTGGTGGCGTATTACTACCGTTGAGCCCTTGAAGGCCTGAGCTTTGTATCTCCGGCTGTTGGCGCTTTTTCCTATGATTTGCTGCTCCGATTTGGATGACAAACTGGGTTATCACCATTCTCTCTACCTCGCTCTTTGGATTTATAATGGTTGAGAGAAATACCATCATGTAGTATTACTTGGACACATACAAGACCAGAAAAACGAGCAATCTTGCATGGCGTACAACCAATGCACATACGGCCATGCGCCTCCTTGGTCACCAGACAACAGAGGCAGCCAAAACAGCACATCTTACCAACCCTCAGCCGTATCAAGTTGGGCAGAAAGCCCATTACAAATGGCCATTATATCAGAACCCCAAGGAGGAACTCAGCGTTGGGACTCACAAGCATACGCATATGCAACTGCCAGTTACAAAACCTACGCTCCCAACGCCAGCTTCCAGCACCCCATACCAGACCAAATCATACCCTCCAGCACGGCCTTTACCGGTACCACCTACTATACAACTCTCACATCCCAACACACGCCTACAGCAAACTCTCCATCATCTCAAGCACATCTCCCCTACTATCAGTACGTAACAACCCCCCCGTCTCCATCTCCACCACATACTAACCATCTCCTCGAAACTCCTCTACTACCCACCACGCACCCCCTCCCCCATCAACCTCCCCCAAAATCCTCTGCCCCTACCACTGCGGCACAATCCTAACCGGCACCCACGCCCTCGGTAATCTAACGCGGCATTTGAAAACGCAAGCGTGCACGGGGCCGGGGAGGGGAAAGGGAAGGTACAAGTGTGTGAGTGAGGGGTGTGAGAGGGTTTATGCAAGGTCGGATGGGTTGAGGGTGCATGTGAGGAGGGTGCATGGGGGTATGGGTAGGGAGGAAGGGGAGGGAGAGGGGGAGAGGGGATGAAAGTTCTGGTGGAGAGGGGGTTTGGATAAGGGGAAAGGGAAAAAAAGAGGGAGGAGTTGGGTGATGTAGTGGTGAGTCGGTGGGCATTTCGTACGCTTTGAGTTGTTTTTCAGAGTGTCAGCGTGTGGACTTTTTCTTGGAAAAGAATTCCTCTTTCATTCGCACATTCTCACAGTGATAAATCAAAAAACCACCAACTTCGAGTTTTTCAGAATAGGTGTAATTTTAGCGAAATATATACAAATCCATCCTAAAAAATCGATTGCAACTAGTGCTAAGTCGTGCAGCCCACGCGCTACAGAGCTAGAAGCTGGTAAAGTAGCTAATCTGAACACGTCGCACTTACGAAAAC